TGAAACCCTTATCCTGATCAGTAATTCTTAACTTATCTGTACGTTTTATCTGGAAGGTGTCATTTCCTACTAAAGTAATTGATCCATACCATATGAATTTTTTCTGGACTTCCTGCATATTATCATCTTGCAGAATAGCTATTTATACAATAAGTTATGAAATGAGCATCTCTTAGGCACGCGACGTGAAAATTGTCAAAGCAAAACCGAGTCGGACAACACGTGTTGTAAACAAGATTTTTTCCACTGATGTTTGATTCAACTTCTTGATGTTAATTTTAATTAAGTGACAGTATTTTAAGCATCTGTCCGTAAAGTTACTCTTTTGAGCACTAGAATTTGAGTTTTATCTATTTAAAAATAATGAAAATACAATTACTCAAACTACTAAATGAATGTTTGGTTTGGGATACTCAAAACAAACTTTGTGCTGTTTCTCTCCTTAGGACTTCCAAGGGAAAAAAAACGCATGGAAGGTGTCAAGCAAAAGCGTCACGGTTTCCTGAAGGTAAATGAAATGCTTGTGGCGCCAATTTCATTGTTTGACCATGGACGCCATATCACTTGAATTGCTCTATTGAATGTGCACGACTGATTTTTGTTTCAATCATAAGATTATCATATTATCATGATTGGATTTTATTTCCATGTCCATCCCACCTTAACAATCAGTTAATGCACAAGAACTGTCAGCAAACAAGTAGGTAAAGACATGCACGTAAAGAGTTTTGCTCTTCCAAGCCGTCTTATTCCTTCCCAAGTAGCTCAAGCCATCTTATTATATCCACAAAACATCACGCAAAACAATTAAACGACCTCACACAAGTCTTGTTGCCCCATGAAGAATAAATGATCAATCAATAAACCACGCCAAGTGTAACTCTCTCACCCCTCTCTCATAGTATTATTGCCTGGATTATTGCCTATTTCCAAATTATTACTTAGGTATATCTCGAGGTATATCTGATGTATTACCAGTACTTCCGATGTATTACCAGGTATAACCCACGCATTTCTTGAATTACTAAGTATTTCTGAGGCAAAGTGTACAGGGTGGGCCAATTTGGACACTTTCAATAGAAAACATCAATTACTGAGTGAGATACAAAAAAATGAACCCCCCACTCTGAGGCTCAAATTTCATGAAATTTTGATTGGTGCAAAGCGCATTTTGATATCTTCAACCGTTTAGCCGCTAGAGGGCGATTCTCGATTTTAAGCAATACTGTGAAACCTTCATAACTTTTTTCTTTATAAAAATAATTGATTTCCGTAAAAACTTTCTTCAGGCACTTTTTAAGCAGAGTTCAGTGACGTTCTCAGTTTTTTTCTAGGTGGCCTCAATTTCAAGATATTGACCAAAGTCTGGTTTTTTTCAATAGGACACCCTATATATCAATAGCTCATTAGAAAGAAAGATCTGCTTTTTCTGATTTCAATGATATAAAGTTTGATAGGTTTATCTCTAACAGTTTTGGATAAAAAAAATTATTTCTGTTTTTGTCATAAGAAATAATGTGTTAGAAAGAGACCTTTCTCATTTTCCTTACAGATATAAAGTCCTTTTCTAACACATTGTTTCTTATGACAAAAACCGAAATTATTGTTTTCTCGAAGAATGTTAGAAATAAACCTATCGAACTTTGTATCATTGAAATCAGCGAAAGCAGAGCTTTCCAATGAGCTATTGATAAATAGGGTGTCCGGTGTCCTATTGAAAAAAAATCGGCCTTTGGTCAATATCTCGAAATTGGGGCCAACTAGAAAAAAACTGAGAACGTCACTGAACTCTGCTTAAAAAAGTGCCTCAAGAAAGTTGTTGGGAAAACAGAAATAATTTTAAAATAAATTCAACTTGATAATCAAAATAGTCCCAAAATACGGATTTTATTCCATTCATGCTTATCTTGAAAAATAACCCGAAAAATAAACAGGGGCTATAAATAGACTAGCCTAGTACGGCCTGACACCGCTTAACTGGGTCTGCAAAAAATCCCTTTGACCGCATTAAAAAGATTTTAATCTGGCAGTCTCAGTGCTCAGATATACTCCGTGCAGAGTTGATGTGTCACGCTGCTGCCGGCGCAATAGTCCGAGAAATATTTTTTAAAACAATAAAACAAAAATACATTTAATATACAAATACAGTGCTACAGACTCCCTCAAGTACCTCAAGTATCTCAAATACTGTTCAATAGGAAGTAAGAGTTTGATTTGTGAATTATTTATTCAGCCTTTATCATATCCACCGCCATTTTGTTATGTGAAGTGGAACGTGTGCCCAGAAGCAAGTTTTAAGTTTAGATTAGTCCTTAAGAGCAGTTTGTCAACAAGGATTAAACAATAAACGCACACACCACACAGTTCTCTTTTATTTTTGAACCACCAACAAAAAGCCTATGGATTTACAGGAAAACATGTAAGCAGCAAAAGGTCCAATTGCATGGGTCCAAAGTACCTGGATCCCTTACAAAAGTTTTTACGGAAATCAATTATTTTTATAAACAAAAAAGTTATGAAGGTTTCACAGTATTGCTCAAAATCGAGAATCGCCCTCTAGCAGCTAAACGGTTGAAGATATCAAAATGCGGTTTGCACCAATCAAAATTTCATGAAATTTGAGCCTCAGAGTCGGGGGTTCATTTTTTTGTATCTCGGTCAGAAATTGATGTTTCCTATTAAAAGTGTCCAAATTGGCCCACCCTGTACAGGGTGGTCCAAATTCGAGCCTCATCATTGGGATATGGGAAACCGTAAGAGATACAGGGTCGGTTAAATTATGGCAAAGTTGCGCAATTTTTTGGCCAATAGAATGCCGTTTTGAAATTGGAAAGATTCCGAATACTTCCGGAGATATTCGGAAAAAAAAACCGAAATTTTGTAAAATCGTTTTTATTTTTTCCTGGTCTTATTTGAGAAGCAATTTCAAAATAAATGTCACTTCATATAGTTTATATAGTTATATAGTTTATATAGTTTTTTATAATTTTTCAATTACACAGTAAAAAAAGCAGGACCTTATTTAAAAAAAAATATATTGATGATTCCAGAGGAATGAAACGTTGGATTTTAAATTTAATACCGCTATCTTGTAGAGAAGAAAAAGTGACAATGAGAATGTGGAATAAGTTTTTCAAAATCTTTTTAAATGAAATCAGGAAAAATTTGAAAAATACGAGAAGTTTATGTTTTTTTCGAATAGTTTTGATTTTTTTCCTGATTTTATTTAAAAATATTTTGAAAAACTAATTTCACATTCTCATTGTCACTTTTTCTTCTCTACAAGATGGCGGTATTAAATTTAAAATCCAACATTTCGTTCCTCTGGAATCATCATCAATTTATTTTTTTTAAATACCGACCTGCTTTTTTTACTGTGTTATTGAAAAATATTGAACATTATCGGTTTTAGGATACTCAAAGATGACAAAATCGTAAATAAAAAATCCAGGTCCGTATTTAAAAAAAGTAAGTTGATGATGGCCGCTTGAAGACGAAACGTCGAATTTTAAATTTAGTAGCACTATCTTCTAGAGGGGAAAAAGTGACAATGATGAAGTGAAATTTATTTTGAAATTGCTCTTCAAATAAGCCCAGGAAAAAATAAAACCGATTTTACAAAATTTTGTTTTTTTCCGAATATCTCCGGAAGTATTCGGAATCTTTCCAATTTCAAAACGGCATTCTATTGGTCATAAAATTGTGCAACTTTGCCATAATTTAACCGACCCCGTATCTCTTACGGTTTCCGATATCCCAATGATGAGGCTCGAATTTGGGCCACCCTGACAGGGATTTCCTAGGTGGTACGCCCCTCGTCAAATGTCCTCTGTGCATGCGCACCGGTCCAGGTAGGGTGTTTCAACCAATAGGAAGGCTGATGTTTGTTTACAATTTAGGTTATTAAATGTCATTTACTGCCGGTTGGATTTGGAAATGGGTATGCCAGAAAATACAAAAATAACAAAAACTACTCTGAGACTTGCTACCGAGCTTGCTACCAAGTGCGGATAAGTAAAATGAAGTAGCAGTAAAGCCTGGGTTTTTTTAAAAGAGGCACCATCCAATACTGAATAGTGACTGTGTTATATTCTGACCCATAACATCATATTTTGGTAGAAAAATCAAAGTTTTCAATGATGGCAATGGAAGACGATACCTTCCAAACCACCTGTACCTGATGTGGATAGAACAACCCAGACTTAGAGGAAAAATCCTGGTTATCATGATGGTTATTCACCGATTTTCTAAGAAATATTGAAGAACCAGAATGTTATATTTTGTGCCTTGTCAATAGACCGAAAATGCTGATAGTTTGGAGAATCACAGAAAAATGATTTGCATATTTATTACCTAATCTAGGTACCTTGTTTTAAAACAAGTCAATTTATCAATTTTAATGGGCCACTTTCACATTTTTCAAAAACATTTTTAAATTATTCTTTTAGTCATTCTAATACTATCTGTATACTTTTTTTCCGAAAAAAACCGCTTATTTTTGAAAAAAAAATTATTTAAAAATCGAATTTTTAAACTGGCCTGAAAAAATGAACTTGGTGTGTGACGTCACACACCAGAAAATCAAGGATGCCAAATTTCTCATTAGTTAATCATTACATATTTCACTAGCTAGAAACTATGTTCGTCCTTTACTACATTATAAAAAAATAAAGGATAGGTATAATCTTTATTAACTCATTTAAATTTCGCATTTCTACATGTGGCAACAAAAATGTCAAAATCGGCTTTAGCCAATCACAGAGCGTTTTCAATCACGTGATTTTTCGTTTAAATTTTTAGTTTTTATTTATTAATGTATTTAATAATCTGACTAAAATCTTGCAAAATATTGTTCATTCTTGGTTGCATTGATGTATCTGCGTCAAAAAATATTATAATTTGCCATATTCCCGGCACGTGAAAGTGGCCCATTCATGAGCATGAGCCATTCAATAAAATATTGTGATTACACATTATAACTATCCCCAAGCCCAACTCACCAAATGAGTGCCAATTCCAAATGAATCAATACAATGTCCTTGTTCATTAAGACTTAATATCGTCTCTTCATTGATATCATTGGATGCCATTATTAATAACTCACCAAAATATGGAATGTTGTATTCTTGAGCAACTCTTTGGAAATATTTTCTTGCTATACAGGATAAATAGGCCAGGTCACCACTGGAAATTGAAAAAAATAAATAAATCAATCAATATTTGAACGATTCAATTCTTACCTATCAAGTCTGATTCCTAAAGCCTTGTACCCCAGCTCATTCAATGCCAATGCAGTAGCACAAAAATTAATAAGCCCGCTCTTTTTAACATCATAAGTATCGACTAACGCCATAAAGTTAGTTGGTAAAGCTATTGCAAAAGAGGCAAATGCTGCTAGTTCACCATCACTAACTTCAGATAGTAATACATTGAATATTGAGACAAGCTTCATTCTAAAGCCTATGGCTAGTTCCAAAAAATTAATGGGTTGTCCTCCACCAGCTGGCAATAGTTCTTTATGAGTAATTTCATCAAATTTGTTGAAAGAAGTTATGTAAGAGTGTGCATGCGTTCCTTTCACTGGAATGTTAAAAATTTTGCCAGCTAATACATTGCTGGTACCATCAAAACCGCCTATATAGGCATATTTTGATGCTGATAAGCCTCCATCAGGACCTTGTGCTCTTCTAAGGCCAAATTCATAAAGTTTCAGCTTTCCAGCTGCCATTCGATACCTAGCTGCATTAGTTGCCATTAAACTTGCATAGTTTACTAAAGTTAGTAATGTGGTTTCCAATAGTTGGGCTATGATAAGGGGTCCTTCTACTCTGAGTAGTGGTACTCTAGGAAATACGACTGTGCCTTCTTGGACAGCATATAATTTAATATCTTTAGCTGTTAATGTACTCAAGTAATCATAAAACTCTTGTTCAATGTGCGATGGAAGTATTTGCTTAATATACTCAATGTCGCTTTCCGAATATCTAAATTTCTCTAAGAATTTCAAGCACTCTTCCAAACCTGCAAATATTGTAAACTCTCCATTGAACGGGTTCTTGCGGAAGAACAAATCAAAGACAGCTCTATCCTCATGCTTGCCGGATCTCCAATAAGCATAGGCCATTGTTATTTGATACAAATCAGTTAAAAGGGGCTGTACGATGCTGTTTTGGCCCATTTTACTCCAACAATTCAAGTGATTTTGCACTACAAAATGATTCAACTGACTTGACATCGTTTCGTTTCAGCTAGATTTGAAGCGTGATCAGATTATGGATCGGTTCGCTATAAATAAATATCCTGGATTCTCGATACACTGGAATGAATCAACATCATCAGTCCGTCACGCAATTGTAGCATTTTATATTTGATTTATAAAAAACAAATATTCCATACAAAACAAATAAAACTTTGACATTTGACAGTATCAACACAATTCAAAAAAACATCTTCTTGTTTACAGTAATTTCACTGGCCCCAGCCACGCGTGTGAAGTTAGCACCCGATTTTCAACAACAAATTTTTCACCAGAAGGGCATAAGTTGTATTCCTTTCAAGAGTTTGGAACACTCGATCTCCGGTGTTAGTCGACCCCGATTTTAAAGGGAGAGATGCGGGGTGCAACAAACACTTTTCGAAAAAATTAAGCGCGTAACGCCCCGGAGCTGTTCCGGAGCTCCTCCTAGATGTGAAAGGAATACAACTATCAATAGGCATTGAACTAAACAAATACTCTGGAACGGGCGCACTGCTTTGGCTATGTTCTGATATCAACTGCCAGTACTGGATTTACTGTGCTGATTTTACTGTCATTTGCCGTTCCGATTTCGTATTGCCAACATAATGTCATTTTGACTTTTATCTTTAAAAAAAAAAACAGACTTTAGCTTGGTGTTGGTTGGAAATTTGGAACGGTTTTGGAATTGCGCAGAACTACTTGCGCACAAAAAATAACCAAAACATGCCGCAACCCAAAATTTCTAAAACAGTTCCTCCTTCAGAGCAAGAACTGAGAGAAACCAAAACGTCTATGTTCCGATATCAACTGTCAGTACTGGAGTGCCTTTAGAAATGGAGTGTGAAGATAGAGTAGTTGTTTGTCAGAGTGTTCTGAAGTTATCACTTGGAGTGCACTCTGCTGGGTGCGCTATTTCTGAACGTATTGGGGGGGCGTTGCGGTGAATATCGATAGTTGTATTCCTTTCACACCTAGGAAGAGCTCCGGATCAGCTCCGGGGCTTCACGCGCTTATTCCTTTCGAAAAGTGTTTGTTGCTCCACGCATCTGTTCCCTGCAAATCGGGGGCGACTGAACACCGGAGCGAGTAGCTCGAGTGTTTCAAACTCTTGAAAGGAATACAACTAATGTCATGAATCACGTCAAACCCGGTAAAAACCATAGCCCTTTTCACGTGGCTCCGGTTCAGCAAACCGCAACATACCACTCAAATGAAAAAAAGGGAAGTAGACCCACACCATTGGTGGGACCAAGAAATAGAGAAAAACATAGAAGATAAAAGGAAGAAATACCAACAGTATCTAACTTCAAATAAGACACGAGACAAAGCAATATATAAACCGTGCGTTCGTTATTTTGGTCCGAGTTCTCCGAGCTTGACTTTACCGTTCGTTTATTTAAAAAGTGTACTCGGTGCAGCCTCATTCGCGTTCGTTTATTAAAATTTCTGGCACTTTTAAACAGCGTTCAACTGCTCTGTGCGCTCACTGGTCACGTGATTACGGCTCCGCTCAGCACGCTCTGCTTTTTGAGCAAAATACCGAACGCAAGGAAAGACGCACAAATAAGAGTACGGAATAAAATAGTGAACAAAAAGAACGAGTTATGGAAAAGAAACTGTGCGCATATTAATACTTATCTGGGGGGTTATAAAAGAAACACAGAAAGTTGGAGATTACTCAAAAACATGAGGAAAACACAAACTAAGGATATTATCGAATGTAATACCTACCACAAGAGGTTTCAGGATTACCGGATAATACTTTTACCTGTCACGAAACGCAGCAACACCACGACTCCGAAGGAGGAGTGGTGTTGCTGGTAACGCGTTGATTGTCAGCAAAGACGTGTCAGGTAAAAGTATTAGGGAATCCTAAAACATCGAGTGGTATTCAAAAGGTTATACAACGAACTAAGCTTTAATACTTTAAAATTTTAAAAATTTTCTATAATAGAATTTGCTATAAATGCCACCAAGCGCGATAATCCCAAAAGGCTTATCATTTTTTAAGCCTCTCGTGTCATATGGGAATAATGTACAGAGTGACTTGTATAATCGAATGTAATACCACAAGAGGTCCTGATTACCGGATAATACTTTCACGTGTCACGAAACGCGTTACGCAGCAACACCACGACTCCGAAGGAGGAGTGGTGTTGCTGGTAACGCGTTGAGTGTCAGGTAAAAGTATTAGGTAATCCTGGAACATCGAGTGGTATTCAAAAGGTTATACAACGAACTAAACTTGCTTTATTAATTTTTATTATTATCAATAACAATATTGCCATTATTTATTACTTCAAAATTTAAAAAAAAAAAAATTATAATAGAATTTGCCATAAATGCCACCAAGCGCGATAATCCCAAAAGGCTTATCACTTGTTAAGCCTCTCGTGTCATATGGGAATAATGTACAGTGACTTGTATAATCGAATGTAATACCACAAGAGGTTTCAGGATTACCGGATAATACTTTCACCTGTCACGAAACGCGTAATGCAGCAACACCACGACTCCGAAGGAGGAGTGGTGTTGCTGGTAACGCGTTGAGTGTCAGGTAAAGGTATTAGGTAATCCTGGAACATCGAGTGGTATTCAAAAGGTTATACAACGAACTAAACTTGCTTTATTAATTTTTATTATTATCAACAACAATATTGCCATTATTTATTACTTCAAAATTTAAAAAAAAAAAATTATAATAGAATTTGCCATAAATGCCACCAAGCGCGATAATCCCAAAAGGCTTATCACTTCTTAAGCCTCTCGTGTCATATGGGAATAATGTACAGTGACTTGTATAATCGAATGTAATACCACAAGAGGTTTCAGGATTACCGGATAATACTTTCACCTGTCACGAAACGCGTTATGCAGCAACACCACGACTCCGAAGGAGGAGTGGTGTTGCTGGTAACGCGTTGAGTGTCAGGTAAAAGTATTATCCGGTAATCCTGGAACATCGAGTGGTATTCAAAAGGGTATACAACGAACTAAACTTGCTTTATTAATTTTTATTATTATCAATAACAATATTGCCATTATTTATTACTTTAAAATTTAAAAAAAAAAATTATAATAGAATTTGCCATAAATGCCAGCAAGCGCGATAATCCCAGAAGGCTTATCACTTGTTAAGCCTCTCGTGTCATATGGGAATAATGTACAGTGAGTTGTATAATCAATACAATACACCCCAGCAATGGGAAGAGTACTTTGAAGAATTATTGACAGAACAGCGGGCAGAGTTTAAAGAAGAAAAGGAACAGACACGAAACATAAAAACTGCAGGATCACCAATACGAGAATACGTCTAATGCAAAAAGAAGTTAAAAAACACTGCGGCTTCTTGAAAAATGGTAGGTCATCAGGCCCAGGAGAAATATATGGAGAACTGATAAAGTGTGGGACCAATAAACTCTACAAACATTTAACAAAACTATTTCAAACATGCATAATGCATAGATAAACATAAAGTACCGGAAGAGTGGAAACTTAGCTATTTAACAACGATATATAAGAAAGGAGACAGAAACAAATGCGAGAACCACCAAGGAATTGAAGTAACAAATACGCTGAGCAGAGTGTATGGAAAACTTATAAAAGCCAGAATAGAGAACGAGTACAAAGATAGTGAGGCAGAAGAACAGGCCAGTTTTAGAGCAGGAAGATCAACTGTAGACCATTTATTCAGTTTGACCCAGGTAATGGAAAAGAAACTATAGCCTATAACCAAGAACTCCATTTACTTTTTGTCGATCTAAAGAAAGCATAGGACAATGTTCCGCTGAAAAAGCTTTGGAAAGCACTGGAAAAGACCAATATCAACTTAGAACTAATAAAGGCAGTAAAACCGCTCTATAGTGATGCAAAGACCAAGATTAAACAGGGAAACTTATTCAGTAAAGGCTTTATAGCAACTAAAGGACTTAAACAGGGATGTTGCATATCACCAACACTTTTTAAAATATACTTAGACAAGCGCTCAAAGAATACAATCTTTATACTTTAAGCTTTGCAGATGATCAAGTATTAATTGCACAGGACTATTATGACCTAGAGTACATGACACGAAAATTGATAGAGGAGCACGAGAAATGGGGTTTGGAAGTAAATCTAACAAAAACAGAATATATGACTATAGGAGGTGAACAACGAAATCTGAAATTGAATAACGGACAAGAAATAAAACAATGTACTGAATACAAATATTTGGGCATGAAAATCTCACATGAGGGAACCCTAGACGAAGCAATTAAAGATCGGAATATACAAGGACGCAAGGCAGTATCATGGCCGATCCTAGGGTGTCAGCCGCCCGCGTGCAAATAGTAATTGTGCCGCCCCATAGAGATCAGGGCCGCAACTAGGGGGTGGCGAACTAGGCGCCCGCCTAGGGCGCCGGAGTATCGGGGCGCCGAAGGCGCCTAATTTAATCCATCCATATTTTACAATCCAAAAAAATGCAACGGTTTTACGCGTCATTTGTCGTAACACGAAAATTTATTTTGCTTGTGTTATATCTCTCTTTATCAACCATACGAATATCGATAGTAATCATGTAAATTATGTCAAACATAGTACGTGTGCAAGAGGCTGCAGCAAATCAAGGATGAAACATACTAATACTACAGGATGGCCTATCCTCATAAGGCCTGTGTGTAACAAATCCCCCCTCTTCTGCTTAATCCTGATGGTTTAGGATGAAAGAGCAGAAGGGCCTTAGTACCAGACATCAGGACTTAAGTCACGGCACTTGCACTATGCCGTAAGATAGGTAACTTACCAGACTAAGCAGCCATCAACCAGAGTCCTACCAGTAGCGATCCAGAGGTCCATCAACCAGAGTCTCAGAGGTCCCACCAACAGCGGTCCCAGAGGTCCAACAAAACCAAGTAACCATCAACCAGATTACCAGAGGTCCCACCAAGAGTGGTCCCAGAGTTCCAACCAAACCTAGCAGGTATCAACCGACTCCCAGAGGTCCCACCAACAGCGGTTCCAGAAGTTCAACCAGGCCCAACAGCGGTCAATCACATTCCCAGAGCTCCCACCAATAGCGGTTCCAGAGGTCCAACTAAGCCCATTGCAAGATCAACAGAACAATGCCGGAAGAAATGATCTTAGGTGCTGCTCAG